AGAAGATATTTAATCTATCGCTATTCTTCTAAATTGAGTTTAAATTAAGGTTGACTATGCTCAACACAGTATTGGTCAAAGGTTGATGTGAGACGTTTTGCTCGTCTTAACATAAGAAATGTTGAGTTCCAGCGAGTTCGTACATCCTATATCGGACCAAGCTTTGGTTCCTCTGTCTGGAGGTTTAGAAATGCATCACGGCGTTGAGGACTAGCGTTGATAAAGACAGCAAGGCCACGGATCTAACGTGAAGTCCGGTTGCGCGGGCGACCCGGTTGAGCGAGCGACCCCACCAAAAATCCACTTCCATATTAATACGTCTTCTTCAACCATAACAAGAATGCCCCCTGAGCGCTCCGATAAGAAAAAAAAGCTAATAGAGCAGGAGGGTCGTCTTTTATTAGCTATAAAAGCTATAAAAGATGGTAAATATCCCTCTGCTGCGGCTGCTGCACGATCCTTTGATATCCCTGTCTCAACTTTGAAGGCACGGATTAATGGGCGTGAATCTGCTACTGAAAAGCGACACAATCGCTTTATTTTCACCGAAATTGAGGAAGGATCGATTGAAAAATGGCTACTGGATATGGATTCTAGAGGGGCAGCTCTTACTTTGCCTATGTTGCGAGATATGGCTAATCTGCTACTTTATGCCCGAAAAACTACGCCCTCTACTGTGGGTAATCATTGGCCTGCTGAAATTATCAAACGACGCCCAAATCTCTCTACTCGATTCTCTCGCAAATACGACTATCAGAGAGCCCTTTCAGAAGACCCTAGAATCATTAAACCATGGTTTGATTTGGTGCAAAAAACAATTGAAAAGTGGGGTATTGTCTCGGACGATATCTTTAACTTTGATGAGAGTGGTTTTGCTATGGGTATCGGCGCAACACAAAAGATTATCACTTCTGCAGAATACCACGGGAAAAGAGCTCTTTTACAAGCCGGAAATCGCGAGTGGGTAACCATAATCGAGTGTATTCGAGCTTCTGGAAGTATTATGCCTCCACTCTTCATTTTCAAGGGAAAAAAGTTTCCAGAGCATCTACGCCCTTATCTTCTTTTAAATCAAGAAGGAGCACGTCTCACTATGAGTGAAAATGGCTGGACTACTAATACAATTGGTTTATGGTGGTTGAAACATCTTTTTATCCCAAATATTGGGCCAAGAGTGGGGAAATATTGCCTACTGGTCCTCGATGGTCATGGGATCATTTGACCCCCGAATTTGACCAACTTTGTGAAGAAAACCAAATTATCGCAATCTGTATGCCTCCTCATGCTTCCCACCTTTTACAACCTTTGGATGTGGGCTGTTTTTCGGTTTTGAAGAGGCTTTATGGAGGAGCGGTTTCAACCTTGATGCGGAATGGAGTGAACTCTATTGATAAGGGAGATTTTCTTGAACTTATCGCTGATGCGAGAATTGGTGCTTTTAAGACTTCTACTATACAAAATAGCTTTTCAGCTACTGGATTAGCACCATTTGATGCTAATAAAGTCTTGGAAAAGCTAAATGTGCGCCTGGATTCCCTTCCTCCTCTCGATATTGTCTCACAGCGACCACTCTCTTCCGGCAGTGATAGTGATCCAAATACTCTCTGGACTCTCTCAAAATTCACAAAATCACAATCTCGGATCAAAAAAGGTCTAGAATCTTCTTCTTCAATCCTCTCTTCACCAACAAAAAGAGAGCTTCAGAAGACCTATGATATGACTATCAAAGTGGTCCACCACCATATTTTTCTCCAGAATCGCTGTACCCAATTAGAGGCTACCAACAAGAAACAGACAAAAAAACGAGAGACCATACATAAGTTTACTACCCAGAAAGGTATCTTTGGGGGTCTAGAGAGTGGTAAAGATGATGTGGTTATGAGGATGAAGATAATGGTAAAGATATATATTTGCCGGAGGTATCTACAAGAGCGGTTGTTGAGCCTACTTTACCTTCTATGCCTTCGGTTCGGCGGCATGTGACATGTTCTGGCTGTGGGATAAAAGGTCATACATATCCTGGATGCCCTTCACGTGTTTATTAGCAAAATTTTGAGTTATTTGATGGTTTTAGTGGTAGTTCAAAATTAATGATTTTTCGAAGTTTGGTGGGGTCGCCCGCTCAACCGGGTCGCCCGCGCAACCGGACTTCACGTTATGGAGAATCATAAAATTAGGTAATCTGCTTTGTCATGCTAGCCTTAGTCAGGATCCGCACATAAGAACCGTGGTTCGAGGGCGGGTAATAATTCAGACAATTACACGATCGAGTACGGACCCTATTGGTCGATAAAATACGTCCGTTTACGTGAGCCGACATTTTCTGTCGGGTCGTGATCCGTGCACCACGGATTTTACCTACCACACCACGTTACATAAGCTACCCTCTTACATAATTAAGAGATATCGGGAATCCTCGGACTAAAGTCATGTGATAGTCAACGTCCGATATCAAATTATAAGTACAGGAGTAAATCAAATTCTCCGCAAAGGGCAACTTCTGATAGTATGCCCTATTTCTCCACACCCTGAGCACTTACTAGGGGCCTTAGGCCTCTTTATATCCGATATTTCCGTGATTTCCTCTGATCTTTTTCTCTTTTTTTCCTCCTTTTTTGGCTGTAGATAGACCCGAGGTGGTAGAATTGAGAGATATTCAGCTGTGGGTGGTCGAGTAACCCAAAAAGGATCAATTTTGTCGAGTCCTATTGGCTGATTAACCTTCAATAACTCACGGATCATATGCTTACAGGGTAGACCCATTGAATTAGTAAAATAATGGGTGCAAATGCCTATTGGCCCCTTTTCTAGGGCTAATTGCCGTTGATTATTGATTTTCTGCAAAGCATGTGGGGAGAGATGGGACCGAAGGTGGCTAAAAAGCGGAATCATGGTGAATTTCGGTATTTTAGTCTGGATTTCGGCTGTTTCTTTGCGGATTTCATCTAATTGGCCATTAATAACAGCATCAATAGCACTAAAAACAGTAATAAAATCGTTATTTGAGCCATGAAGATGGGACTTAAGCCTTGCATGAATACCCTCAGACCGTGAGCTTGCAGAATTACCAAAATGGGTAATATTCGGAGTATAACAGCGGACGAATTTCTGTTTATAGATTAGCCATATTCTTTCGAGATAAAGGATCAGATTAGGGTAGTTAAACTTAGTTTTAAGGTTATATAACCTTAATTTATATTCCTCTGATATATTAGATGAATAAAGGTCTCTCCATATCTTCATAAACTCTGTGAATTCTGTGTTTTTTGGGTCGTCTTGGGGCTGATTTGCTGTTTTTTGGCAAATAAATTCACGTGCTTTAGTAAAAACAGCTTTTTCAATATGCCAAATACACAGTAAATGGCTAATATTAGGAAAAAGCTCTTCAATTGCCCCAATAAGTGCTAAAGCTCTGTCAGTAATCAATACTGAATTATTAGATAAATGGATAAAATCCGAGAATAAGGTTTGTAGGGCCCACTTATAGCCTTCTTCACTCTCATTTCGCATAAAACAAGTAGCAAATAAGAAGGTCTGGTTAGTCGGAGTTATGCCAATAACCTCTAAAAGAGGCATACCGTACTTATTAGTCTTATAAGTGCAATCAAGGACAAAAACCCTATAGTATTTATTAGCAAGATCAATAGATTTAGGGTTAGCAAGCGCTAAAAACTCGATTTTATCATCAGATGATAAAGATAATCTATACTTATATCCTTTAATTTGCAAATTTTGGAGAAAATACTCCATTTCTCCCTGATATCCATACCTATCTCGGAGTAATTTTGCTTTTTGGTTATATATATCACGTGAGATTATCGGTTGATCTGTAGATAAACGGAGCAATTTGATCATATCTCTAGGGGCAGAATTGATCTGATTCAGGTCTTTAATCTTATCAATTTGAGTAGAATTAAGCTTCCGAGCTTGGTGGAACACTATTGGATCGTCAGCAGGGTGATTATGGGATGAATTACGTACCTGGAGCTCCCATTTGCCTGTTTTATTACTTGCATATAGCCTAAAGGGGCAATTTTGACGTTTTGAGCTTGTTTCCCGAGGATTTAGGCCTGTAATTGGCCTATCAATCGGCCGAAAAGGTATGCCTGATTTGACACATTGGATTGAAAGGTTCGCGTAAGCATATTGACCCTTGCCAGAATTACTGCTTTTTATAGCAGTACAATAGCCCTGAGAGAGGGCATGCTTCCGGACGGATTCGATTAATTCATCTCGAGTAGCATATGAAGCTTCAGGGGGTGGAAGAAGGTCTAAATTGGGTTATTATCAGTTATAAAAGATCAGGGAAAAGGATATACCCTACTTCCGTGAGCAGATAAGGTAGAATTGGTAGCCATTTTTGTGGTATTTTAGGGCAAATTAGGGCAGATTATGGTAGATAGAGTGATCAGGCCAAGGTAGATGGTAAAAAAAAGGGTAGAATAGAGTAAATTATCGTTTATCTACCCAAATCTGGTTACTATAGTGATGAAAATTTGATATCGGACGTTGGATAGCACGTGATTTTCTTCCGAGGATTCCCGATATCTCTTAATTATGTAAGAGGGTAGCTTATGTAACGTGGTGTGGTAGGTAAAATCCGTGGTGCACGGATCACGACCCTTTTCTGTCGGAACAATGGATCATGTAATCAACTTTATTAGTCAGCGTACCACATGTTAAACTGCTGTGGTGGAGACTAGAGAATACCAGACAAGTACACAGACGTGACCCATACCATTGGTACATGCTGTTCGACCCTGATTACGTGTTCAGAGAAGGTCTTGGTTCCACGTGATTTTATCACACAGATTGTCGAGGAGCTCATTCAATGTCGCGAGGCTCACTCGTCCATCTCAGCCATCCAGCGAGAGTGCTCGCGCCTTGACAATGAATTACTCAAACACAAGCACATCAATGAGGCGTTTCAGAAGGAACTGAGCGAGATCGGCGAGATCATCACCCAAGTGGCCCATGAAGACTTGTCGCAGCGGGCCCGCATGCACCCCCTGGAGATTTTGCCCGAGATCGCCACGTTCAAACAGACCATCAATACGATGATGGACCAGCTACAGGTATTTAGCCAAGAGGTTTCTAAGGTTGCTCGCGAGGTCGGCACCGATGGAGTCCTGGGTGGACAAGCAAAGATCGAGGGCATCAAGGGCATCTGGGAGGAGCTGACCGTCAATGTCAACGCTATGGCGAACAACCTTACGACTCAAGTTCGCGATATCACTACAGTGACGACCGCGGTAGCGCAGGGCGATCTGACGCGAAAGGTGCAGGCGGACTGCAAAGGTGAGATCTTGTTGTTGAAGAACATCATCAATTCTATGGTGGATCAGCTACGGGAGTTCGCTTTTGAAGTCAGTCGGGTCGCTCGAGAGGTGGGATCAGACGGAACCCTTGGCGGCCAAGCGGTTGTTCACGGCGTGGAAGGGACCTGGAAGAATTTGACTGACAATGTGAATTGCATGGCCTCTAATTTGACACAGCAGGTCCGCGAAATTGCCAAAGTAACGACCGCTGTGGCCCGTGGAGACCTGACCATGAAGGTGACGGCGGATGTCAAGGGAGAGATTTTAGACCTCAAGCTGACGATTAATTCGATGGTCGACCGACTAAATCAATTTGCTTTTGAGGTCAGTCGAGTGGCACGCGAAGTGGGAACAGATGGTACCTTGGGCGGCCAAGCACAGGTGGAGAATGTCGAAGGGTAATGGCGAAACCTCACAGACAATGTCAACACCATGGCCCAGAATCTTACTCTGCAAGTGCGGCAGATCTCCAATGTGACCCAGGCTATTGCCCGTGGCGACCTGAGCACTAAGATCGAGGTCCATGCCCAAGGCGAGATCTTGACCTTGAAGGAAACGATAAACAGTATGGTGGATGGACTGGGTGCATTCGCACGTGGGCTGAAGGGCGTAGCACGAGACGTGGGCGTGCGAGGGCAACTTGGCGGCCAAGCTAACGTAGAAGGATCCCTTGGTATCTGGAGATCGATCAGCGAGGACGTCAACACCATGGCAGACAACCTTACGTCTCAAGTGCGCGCCTTTGGAGAAATCACAACAGCAGCTATGAGCGGTGACTTCACATCACTCATCACAGTATCTGCATCTGGTGAAATGGATGACTTGAAACAAAAGATCAACAAGATGATCTCGAGCCTGCGGGACAGTATCCAGCGTAATACTGCCGCTCGTGAAGCAGCTGAATTGGCCAACCGCAGCAAATCAGAGTTTCTTGCGAATACCAGGTTTGTCTTTGCTTCCAATCTGACTACGATGAAAATGTTAAACCTAACAATAAACCAGCCATGAGATCCGTACCCCAATGAATGGAATTATTGGACTGACTGGTCTAGCCCTCGACACAGACGACATCCCCGCCTCCGTTCGCGAAACACTAAGCATGGTGCACAGCCTGGCCTTTAGCCTTCTGACAATCATCGATGATATCCTTGATATCTCCAAGATCGAGGCAAATCACATGAAGATTGAAAAGACCGCATTCAGTCTGAGTACGACCGTGTGGAGAGTGTTGAAAGCTTTCGACGTGCAAACCGTGGAGAAAGCACTAAGTTTGATTTACTCAGTCGACGGCAGTGTGCCAGATTACCTCATCGGCGACGCTTATCGAATTCGGCAAGTGATGATGAACTTGGTTGGAAATGCTGTCAAATTCACCGATCACGGTGAAATTCACGTTTCCATTAAGCATATCCAGGATATCACTTGCGCAGCCGACGAAGCTACCTTCCAGTTCTCGGTTTCAGACTCTGGGATCGGAATCGAACAGAGTAACCTGGGGCTTATATTCGATAAGTTCCAACAGGCAGATGGATCCATGACACGCCGCTTTGGGGGTACGGGTCTGGGGCTCGCCATTTCTAAGCGCCTTGTCTCCCTCATGGGTGGGGATATCTGGGTCACGTCTAATCTAGGTGAAGGAAGCACGTTCGGATTTACTTGCAAGCTGAAGGTCAGTGAGCCTCCAGTGGCTCTGGCCGAGCAAGTTATGCCTTATCGAAGTCGCGAGTTCTTGCTCGTTGGCGATGTCAAACAGGCTGGATGTCCGGCCGGCCGTATGCTGCAAGAACTAGGCCTTCAGGCTGTGATCCTGACTCATGAACAGCTCATCTCGGGCCAATGCAATGGGAAGATGAGCTCTGCATTCAGTGCTGTTATCGTCTCAAAGATGGAAGACGCTTTCGAGTTGCGCACTTGTGGCCATTTCTCAGCTACCCCCTCGTGTTCATGGCCCCTGACCTGTCGTTGCCCATGAAAACCGCCAGTGCGCTCGGTATAACGGCCTTTATAACCACCCCTTGTCGTCCCATCGATCTCTGGAATGGAATTGTTCTTGCGATGGGAAACCACCAAAACCACCCGCTGCCCGGCAACACTCGGCCTCTCTTAATCCTGCTTGCCGAAGACAATGATGTCAACGTGAAGGTAGCCGTCCGCATCCTCGAGAAAGCCAAGCACCACCTTACCGTCGTCGGGAATGGCCTCCAAGCTGTGGAAGAGGTCAAAAAACGACGCTATGATGTGGTTCTCATGGACGTCCGAATGCCCATAATGGGTGGTTTTGAAGCAACTGCGACAATAAGACAGCACGAAAAGCTGCAAAATCTCCCTAGAGTACCAATCGTCGCACTGACGGCGCATGCAATGCTCGGAGACCGCGAAAATGCCTTGAATCTGGAATGGATGATTATGTCTCCAAGCCCTTGCAACTAAATCACATGATGGAGACTATTCTCAAATACGCGGCGATGAATAGATGAATATTTCATCATCATTATCAACCCCACCAAAGCAGTGTTCATCCTCGGTCATCAATTAAATTGAGATCGATATCAGGATGTTTCAGCAACGATTTGGTCAGTCCCAAATACCCATTGGATGCGGCAAAGAAAATGGCAGTCTATTGTTGAGGACCACGGGCATTGATCTCGACTATGTCTCCTTGTCGGAGAAACAAAGGTATAATGGATAGATGATTCAGAATGATAGCTACTTGAAGCGGCGTAGTTCCAGTAGGGCTTTTCTGGTTGGCCTTGACTGACCCCAAACGAAGGAGTGCCTTTGCCGCGTGAAAGTTGCCTACACGGCATGCAGACAAAGCGGAGGCACGATCTCTCTAGTCTGCGAGTAGATGCATATTTCCGACTGTTTCAATAGCAGTTCAAGAACTCGCAGAACAGGATTCTCGGCAGCTCGGGCCAATGATGTCACTCCATAACCATCAGCATCATTCAATCTCACATGCCTTTGGCTAACAAATAATTTCACGAGATCATGGTGACCACGATCCACAGCGTGCCACAAGGCTGTTCGCCCTTCGGGATCCGATATAGTTACATCAAGGTCCGAATGTAGGAGAAGAGACTCGACCATGAGGACTCATTGCTGTTGATTGAGCTTTTTCGCAGCCAAAAGGAGAGACGCATCATCGTAGGAGCTCTGGTGATTGATATTGGTTCCTGCCTAACGTACGAGTATCCGAGTCGCGATATGGTCCCCTCCAAGAGTCGCAGATTGCAGTGGCGTCCGATCAAAATGATCTTCAAGGTTGACATTTTCTCGAGAGTCAGTAAGCAAGAGATGCAAGATATGTTATAACTCAGAGGTATTAAATTGTCTTATTTATTCAGAGAGAAACATGAGGCTATATATACAACGAGATGATCAAGTTGATTTCCAATCAACTTGGTTCTTCGTATACATACTTCGGGATTAATTCCGATGGTTCGGCTTGGTTCCTGATCTGCACCATCCTTATATCACAACAAGATATAGTACTCGCGATGCTTCAGCGCGTACACAATGGCAGAAAATCCGTCCAAGCATTGATCGTTGACATCAATCTCCTGAGACTGGAGAATCCGCTCAACTATAGCAGTATTTCCGCCGATAACTGCAAGTGACAAAGGGCCTCGGCCTCTAAAGTCACAAGAACAGCGACCATTGGGCTTATATCGCAGGACCAGATCCATGGCTTGTGGGTATCGTAGGTCAATGGCTAGGAGGAGCTAGTTCTGCCCTGCGTACTCAACGTCGATATTCACGTAGTATTCCTCGATTGATCGTGCTGCAATGTCTAATCTTTGGGCTTTCATAGCACGAAAGTGTGGCGGAATTTCATCAGAGACAAGGCACACAAAAAGCGCCTTAGTGAAAATAGGTTTGGTCCGACGACAGAGCAGGCATAGGTTCAGAATGCGGTCTTTTTGAAGAAACCTGCAAATCCAGAGTAAGAGCTATTTTGGAAGCTCGCAAAGCATAAGGGTGTAATTTTGCTGTGTCTAATTGTGTTCGGGAAATAAATCTCAGCAAATAGCAAAATTGGTCACTGGGAGCTTACAGCGGCGCGTGTACTCTCCCTTATGTGCAGTGAAACTCTAGAACACCGTACCATTTGAAATACGGGGATCAGTTCTGCAGCCGAAATCGCTCAAGCCAGAAGCTGCACGTGAAACCAAATTGACTATCAAGGATGCCCTTCTACAATCCCCGAAGGCACAGTCCCCGCCCCGGGAGCAAGGCCAACCGCTCCAGGATATGGCTTGGGGGACCCAGGAGCAGGCAAGGCCCCAGGAGCAGTGGTTACATTTGTCAGGGATATACATGAGGCATACACGCTAAGCGGAGGACGCGGACCCACATAGCGCATCTGGGTTCCCTAAACGCGAGGAAGCCATCTTTCTTTTGGTTCCTCGCGTTACGTCTTGTATCTAGAGTCGACTATGCCTTTTGTTAATATGATCCTTCATTAAAAAGACACACTCCTCATCAACAGATACGTGACACCCTCACAATCGCAGGGGATCCACAAACTGGTCTAGTAGGTCTTCAAATTGACCTGGCTGGAGATGGGATACTGTAGGTCTTCAGGCAACAGGGACTAATTTCGAGCGTTTTCCAAGTCTCTATTTTCCTTTGCACGCTAGGCCTTGCTCTTCTTCGTGAGTCGCCCTAGCCAATCTTCGCGAACGTCAGCTTATCTATGTCCCATTCGTTTTTTTCCGAATCCAAGTTCGACGAGCGAGGATCAATAGATTAGCTCAGAGGCAAGCGATGTACAGCGACTCTCTAAGGCTTTCACCACTCGTATCTATTCTGTCTTGCCTTAATACGTTCAAATAGACTTTGGTTTTCGATCACCATGTCTCTACCAATGGATGGTGTGATGACCGCATTTCTATATTCTAGAGATATCAGTCCAGAAAGGCAGCATAGACAAACATCAGGTATATGAATATAGTCATTGGGTCCGCTCGACCCGTTCAGATCGGTAGATATGGAATTCCAACACAAAAGACTTTCTGGAACCGACGGCTAGCAATGGCCGAAGTTCGGCTTATGGTGTCAATCATCGATATGCGTTGTCCCGGACGGGTCAAAGTAAGAGCCGTAGTACTAGCGTCAATGTGGCCTGGCCACAGTACACTCAGTGAAAATAATTTTAGTGGGCGATAGCTTAGACCCTGAAAAATCGCTCTTCAACAAGTAAGGCGAATTTCTGAAAAAACGGCATGATCGTCGGCCTCAGTTTTGAATCAACAGCCAATGCTGAAGTTCAGATGATGGTAACGAAAGTGCATGCGGTCGCAGTCGATCGTTAATCGCTGCCCACTGTTTCAACTGTTGAAAGTACAGCTGTTTAGACAAGGTTACGGGGGCGAGTAGCGGCCAATTTATCAAAACACCTTATCACATGACTTTTGTTCACCGCTTTTATCAATTTGGTAACGTATTGTACGAGAAAACCCCTAAATCCTACCATCTAATATCCACCCATTTAATATCCACCTATCTCCACCCTTTTCCCCCCTTTCACCCAACATGCCGCGCCCGCAAATTGACCTTGCTGCCCACCGAGACGAGATACAGACCCTTTTTGAGAGCGGTGCTACTCATGAAGCTATTCAGCATGCCCTGGCCGCCCGTGAGATGCACGTGACCCTTATTACGCTCAGAAGACGACTTGATTCCTGGGGTTTTCGGAGATACAGCACCGGACCCGATATGCGTGAGAATGTTAAAACCCTACTACCCCTTATGCGCCCTCGAGATGTCCAAAAAGTGCTACCTACGCTTACCGAGCGCACTTTTCGGAGAATTCGGGCGGAAATGGGTGTCAAATTACGCACAGACGACCCTGTTGAGCGTGACCAGCAAAGAGAGGAGTTACAGGCGGTTTTGACCTATTATGACCGTACTGGAGAAATTGAGGGGTACGGACGACGCGCAATGCAGGTCCACCTCCGTCGTTATGAGCAATATTATCCAGCGTAAGTGGGAGATATTTGGGAGATATTTGGGAGATATTTGGGAGATATTTGGGAGATATTTGGGAGATATTTGGGAGATATTTGGGAGATATGTGGGAGATATTTGGGAGAGAAACGTGCTGATTTCTTCTTTAGTGATCTAATCTACGACGTTTACCGAGAAATCCGCCCTGACGCAGTTTTACGCCGCACAAACGACCTCCAGCGTGGCCGTGGTAGCTATAGCTGCCCTGGGGCTAATTTCGTCTGGCATGTTGATGGGCATATGAAGCTTGAACCTTATGGATTCGAGATTTATGCTGCTATTGATGGATACTCTCGCAAAATCATGTGGATTTATACCGGTATAAGCGCACGCACAGCTGTGAGTGTTGGACGTCAATATCTTGACTGTATTCAGCATGCTGGGTGTATTCCGCGTTTTATCCGCTGTGATTTAGGTGTTGAAGGGCATATGATGGCTGATTTTCATCTTGCACTCCGGAGGGTGGAAGATCCTACGATTACACGTCTTCGTGATTGTTTTCTACTAAGTAAAAGCACAGAAAACCAGCGTATTGAATCGTTTTGGTCGAAACTACTGAAAACGTGTTTATTTATCTATCGTCATTACTTCATGATTTTACGAGAATCACACCTCTTTTCAGCAGCAAATATTACAGACCAGGTCGCCCTTCTCGCCATCTATATGCCACTTATCCGACGACATGTTTCAGAGTACATCAAAGATCATAATTCGTTTCCCATCCGCCCTCAAAAAAATAGGCTTGGGTGTGTTACCGGTATTCCACTCGTCAACTACGACTTCCCTCCACCTGGGAAGCAATACAAGTGCGAAGTGAGCGAGGAAACCTATCAAATCCTGTACGAAAATGTCGCACCATGGGATCCTATAGAATATCTTCCACCTGCTACTCTGGCGTGGTGCTCTACACAGCTGAATGATATCATTCCAGGGGGATTTGACCCCGAAAATCCACCTCTCTACCGACCGGGTGATAACCCCTTACAGCCATATCGATCTGTGTACGAGCAGCTGCGGATTCGAGCATTAGACCATGAAGATTCTGGTATGCAGCCGAAATTCAGCGTTTGTGACAAGCCCTTAGATGGATATAATTGGCGGAATTCAGGTGCAGCAGAGGGTGTAACAGCGGAAAGTGGTTGATAATCTAATGTCTTAGGTTGCGCAACGAATTTTGGTCTCGGGTAACGAATTTTGCGTTTGCAAAACATGATGATGAATATGTGGTTGATTTCGTATACTAAATAGCACTTTTTCCCATCAGTATCTTCCACATAATCCACTTTTATTCATCAATTTATTGCTTAATTCCTCCAAATATGTCCGATTCCAACGCAATTATCGCAAGATTTCTAGAGTGGCAAAGTTCTCAAGCTTCACCTACCCCTACCCTTACCTCTACCCCTGCCCCTACGCCTATTCGTACGCCTGCGCAGGTCAATACTCAGGCCCTTCAGCTGACAGGGTATGAAGCTGCTACAAGGTCTTACGGGGCTGGGTCCCAGGCGAGAAACCAGCAAATTGGTCGAGCTCCGGCGCCAGCGCCTACCCCACCACAAATCAAGTTGGTAACATATGTCTATCTTTGGGAGCGTGGTGGACCAATTACGCAAATTAGAGAGGGTTTGCGTTCCTGATTCTCTGCTTTTTCTATACACATTCGATATATTTGCTAACTTTTTGGCTCTTTTAGTCGTTTTGAACCCCGACTTTCCTCCCGAATTCATCGTCCAAAATACACGTCAATTTGTCGAATTCGACATATTGACCCCCACCAATGTCGCGCTGCTGGAGAGGAAGGGGTATAACCCGACTTTGGATGAATTCGACGGGTATTTACTTGCGAGGGACGTCAAAACGGCCAATAACCGAGATCCTACAGCATTTATGGTTGAATGTCGCCCAAATACGCCCCTCCAGGAGTTTTGTGACCATAATTTGGGCCTTGTTAAAGGATTTAAGGACCGTTGGACCCTTCATGTGATAATATCACAGCATTCAGATACTACTCTTACCGCCCCGGTAGCCCCCGCAGCCCTTACAGCCCCAGTAGCCCCCATAGCCCAGCAGCCCCCGTAGCCCCAGTGGTTACTGAGCTCTACGAAGACCGTCTCTGGTCATCTCCGCCTGCCTACAGCGATACCGAGAACCTCGAGATCCCCGATCTTGCCCCTGAGGCCCCTACAGCAGCGCCAGCAGGGCGTCCAACACGGTCAAGAAGAAGAAGGAGAGATACCCCTGAGCTTTTAAGCCAGCGTACCAGTAGACGCAGGCGCTTTTGATAGGGATAGATGGGTTCTGAAGGGTTTTGTACGCTATTTTCTCATGCATGCATTTTCGTTTAGGATTTGATAGGTTTGTTGTAGTTCAGAGGTGTGAATTGTCTTGTTTTTTTATTTGAGAGGGAAGAATAAGGCTATATATACAACGAGAAGATCAAGTTGATTGGAAATCAACTTGGTTCTTCGTATACATACTTCGGGATTAATTCCGGTGGTTCGGCTTGGTTCCTGATCTGCACCAGCCTTATATCACAACATTCCCCCTCAGGATCGCTTTGCTGGCAGGGCGATTCTGGAATGGCGCAGAGCAGTCAGGCCTCGGTAAAACCACTGAAAAACCTTCGCGGGAAAATAAGTGGAAAGAGCGCCTGCGCTGTCACGCGTTTTGTCTCGAAACCTCTGGAGCATCGACTCCTAAGAGACTACAAAATCTGGCAAAGGCCGTAGGTCCCAATGGCTTGGTGAGACCGTCCGCGGCCTGTTCCCCAGTTGGAATATATTGAAGCCCAATCTCGCCTGTATCCAGCACGGCTCGCTGATAGTGAAATTTTACATTGAAATGCTTCGTGCGTTTGTGGAATTCAGGGTTGCGAGAGAGAGCGATGGCGGACTGGTTGTCAGCCATAATGTTAGTGACCGGAGACCGATACAGTTGCGTTTCAGCCAGAAAGGTGCGGAGCCACTGGAGATGCAGAATGGCATTGTACTGTCCGATGTATTCGGCATGAGTTGTAGACGTGGCCACTTCCCCCTGTCTCTTGGATGACCAGGAAACTGGCGCACCTGCAAGTTGGAAAACATAGCCAGACGTTGAGTATGCACCGTCAGTGACGACGGAGCCCCCAAAGTCGGCGTCCGTGTACCCGATCAACTGCCCACTGCGGTAAGTAATGCGATGAGATTGCGTGGCTTTGATGTAGCGAAGCAATCGCTGCAGAGCGACTTGGTGTTGCGATTGCGGCTGAGACGTGAAGCGACTCAACATGCCCAGCGCAAATGCAATATCTGGTCGCGTGCCAACCATTAGATACATTAACGAACCGATGGCAGTCGCATAACGAGCTTTTGCTTCCTCGTCCGGAGGTTCCTCCTCTGGACGATGATTCAAGATTTGCTTGGGATTCATCGGCGTAGACTTCGGCTGACAAGTCTCCATGCCAAAGTCGGAGAGCACCTTCTGGATGTACTGGTGTTGGTGAATAGATACGGACCCATCGACATCATAGTCGAACTGGATCCCGAGGAATGATCGAGGGGTGCCCAGATCGTTCAGTCGGAACTCTGTTTGCAAGGCTCGTTGCACTTGTTCGATTTCGTGCGTGTTTGTCGCAGCAACAAGAAAGTCATCGACATAGACACAAACGACGCAATCCGGTTTGTAGAACACACAATTGTCCGATTGGGCCATAGTGAAGCCATGAGAAGCCAGAACGCGGTGGACGCATTGGTACCAAATCCGCGGAGCCTGCTTCAGTCCGTATAGTGAGCGGCGCAGTCGGCATACGTATCCTGGCTTTTCGAAACCTTCAGGTAACTCCATATAGATAGACGAATCGACGTCTCCATGGAGAAATGCGGTGACCGCGTCGAATTGGTGGAGTTTCCATCCGCGCAACACGGCGCTGGCGACGATGCAGCGGACCGAGTCCATCCTGGACACAGCAGCAAACGTTTCGTGATAGTCGATGCCATGTTTCTGCCGGTAGCCTTTGATAACCAATCGCGCTTTGCGCATTCCGTTGGCCTTGGTCTTGAAGACCCATTTGCAGCCAATCACATGATTTCCGGCTGGGACGTCCTCCCGCCGAACCTTTTCCCATGTTCCGTGTTCGAGAAGCGACGCATATTCTTTCTGGATGGCGGCCCACCAGTCCAGCTGGTCTGGGCCTGATACAGCTTCGCGAAAGGTCGCCGGGTCGACTTGTCTGGCCGGTGCGGGATTCAATGCGCCGGCAGAGTACACCTTGCCGAGTGATTCCAGGAGACGCCGTGATGGTCTTCTTCTGCGACCAAAAATCGAATATCCAAGATCCGATGTCAGGTCAGTGCCTTGTTGGCTTGGATTGACCACTGGAGGTGTCTCCTCCTCACGCTCAGATGGCGTTTTCTCTCGCTCCTTCGGCGGAGGTAATGGCGATGCAGGTGGTGTTGGCAGCCCGCTGGCTGAACTTGGCATTGATGAAAAGACAGGTGATGGAGGAGCATTGTCCGGGAGGTCGTTGCCTGTTTCCCCCTCGATGAGTGGCGCCACTGGGGTCCTCTCATCGAACTCGACATCACGGGAAAAGACTGTCTTTCCTGAATGGATTTCATAGAGCTTGTACTGATTCGGTTCACAATAGCCTAGCAGTCGGCACTCGGATGATCTTGGTCCGAGTTTGGCTCGATGCTCTTTGGGGATCAAGACCCATGCACGGGAGCCGATCCGTCGCAGATGCAAGAGCGAGGGCGGTTCCCCGTATAGAATTTCAAACGGTGTCTTCTTCCGTAAGATCGATGCTGGTGCACGCAGCTTCAAGTAGACCACTGTGTCTACAAGCTCGATCCACCAGGAAGGAGAAAGGTTCGCATCGGACAGGAGCGTGTTGATCCGCTCCCGGATAGTACGATTAGTGCGTTCGGCCAGCCTATTCTGCCCTTTGCAGTATGGCGGCGAGGTGTCGAACTCAACTCCCTGGGATTCGAGATGTGTTCCAATTGGCAGATACTCTCTCCCATTATCGGTGAGGAATCTTCTGATCTGGGCGCCGAACTGTCGGTGCACCCAGGCCTCAAAATGTTGGAACTTCGGGAGCGCTTCATGCTTCCATCTCATGGCATAGGCCCACGAGCCACGAGAATAATCATCAGTAAAGGTGATCACGTACCTGGAGCCATCTTTGGCCATCGGCATCTCCATGATGTCCGAATGGATCAATTCGAAAATTCTCGTTGAATGCAGACGTGGCCGTCTTGCGCGGGAGTTCCTCTTCTGATGCTGCTTACCCGACATGCACGCCGGACACTGCGGCGTTGCCAGCAGCTGCGCCTGCGTCAGCGGTCGGTACGGAGTGCCGGTCTGCCGAAGGACCACCCTCAAGTCGCCCCGGTTCAGATGTCCCATCCGAGCGTGCCACAACGCTTCGGAGGCCTGGTCCACTCCTGTGCACACATCTTCTTCGAGTATCACAGCTTCACCACCGAGTTCAGAGGTTGGCGCTGTACATTCTACGCCACTTGACTCCCGAGGATCGTCAACGTCCATGGCCACCGCCTGCGGTTCCAGGGAATCTGCATGGTCATGGGTCGTCGGCGCCCTCGCCAGTTGGACTCGCTCTCGAGATCTCTTGCTCACATGGCACCGCAGGATCAGTAGATCCTCCTCCGCGTGGTAGGCGGTCCCCACGGTTCGTCCTCGGCGTTGCACAAAGACGTTCTGTGGGTGCGCCACCACCGAGTAGCGGTCTCGCAACAGCTTCGGCACGCTGATCAGGTTCATCCCGACGCGTGGCGCAAAGTACACGTTCTTCAGCACCAGGGGCTGGTTGAACTTCCCCCGGAGCGTGAGCTTCACCGTACCAATCCCTTCGGCTTCCACTGGATCGCCCGCCGTGTCCAACATCTCGCGGTGGGGCCGCAGACTGCTGAAGCAGCTCCGGTCCCAGCAGATGTGGCTGGTGGCGGCCGAGTCCAGGATCCACCGGGGTTGCGGTGCGTGGGTATAAAGGGTCGTCACCCTCGCCCTCACGATATTGATCCTCGGTCTCTTGGAAGTCGGCGGGCCCTGCCAATCTTCCACCTGGCTTGATGGTATCTTTTGTAAGTTAGTTCTTGGTGAGCCGGAAACACTCCTCTCAGCCTTCAGGGCATGGTCCCTAGACGACTGTCCTTCTCGCTGTTTCTTCCAGCACTGCGCGACCACATGGCCGCGCTTTTTACAATAGTTGCATTTCTTGGCAGTCTGCTGCACCGTATTGACAGACGGGCCAGATGCTGCCTGCAAGGGTGTTGGAGCTTCTTTTCTCCGAACCGTCTGCTCAGCATTAGACAGACGATTTCCGATCGTGGTCGGATTCACCGGATCCTTGTCATTCTGAATGGCATCCACAACTAGAATGTATTCCGGTCCGATCTGCGTCAGTAAGATCGCAATGTGCGTTCGATCGCCAATGGATCCGGGCACGATAGCATTCAATCGATGTACGAGCAACCGTACCCGATCGACAAATTCGCGGGCACTGCCGCAGCGCTCGCCAGTGGTTTCACGAAGCTGCGCAAACAACTCGCAGAACGTGGCCAGTTCCATTCGCCGGTACCGTTCTTCGAGTTCATTCCAGAGGTCGCGAGACGTCTCAAGTCCCGCAACATGAATGCTA